CGAGTGATTTACAACATATAATGGTGCAGATAGTAGTTAGACACGGTTCAAAAAGCAATAAAACCTGATTATAAATAGATGTATACTGTTACGAGCTAAAAGCTACTTAGGATAAATGAATGTAGTTTCATGTTACAATTTGAAGTCATTCTCAAAATTTTTTTGGGTAGGTACGAGGTCGGTCAAATTGACCGATCCCGAATAGAGATAGGGTAGAGAAAATAACAGATGAGATATAAAGTTTTACTGAAAAAAAAAAAAGTTTGAAATGTGTTTAGGAGGTTTTAGCAATTATATAAAAGAAATTTGAGATTTTTGAGATGAAAAAAGTATTTTTAATCTTATCATGAAAATTACTTTGCACGCTGACTATTCAAAACAAATAATATATTCATGGACAAATCTTTATTTTAGTATGATATTTTGTATGTGAAAGACTTGTAAGGTTAACTGAAACACTGCCAAATTTTGTGAAGATATACACACAGCATTGAAAGTTAGAAGTGTTAAATCTATAAAGACTTTAAACAAGTACAAAGAGGTCACGTAGTTGGTAAATTGTTTGAGCCTGTGTTGAGAGAGTTGATGAATTATCTTAAGTGACACTTAATTGGTGCAGTCAATGCTCATAGTTAATTGATTATACTGATTAATTAACTGCCAATCTTTACATATTACATTGCATAAGTACATATTTATTATCTTTCATGCAAAAGGATTATCAGAGATCTGCAAGACCAAATTTCTAGAAATTTTAAGTTAGAACTCAATGTAATGGCAGGGTGAGCATGTGAGTGTACAACCACCTCCCTTCAAGGTTTATAAGCCTTATAAGTTGTCTTATAATCTAAAAGAATAGCAAATATTGTAAAACACTGTATTATAGTAGCAAATTTAATATTTTAAATTTGACAGAAAATACTTAAAGGATTCTGTATCATTCGTAAGATTATTAGCAGGCATTAGGTGCTAACTGAAATTCATAACTGACTATGCAATACATATATCTATTTTTCTAATACAATGTTATTTAGTAAGTTTGTTCTACATTTAATGCAATTTGGTTAAGTATTTCCACTATGAGACACTTTTTGAAAAACAGTTGTTATCACTTTCAGCCATAAATTTTAAAAAACATTGAATACACTGACAAACATTTATTGGCGACCTAAGACCAGATCTTTCATAACGGCTTCAGTTCAGACTGAATAACAATATATTTGATAAGAATATTCTTGGTCAAAATCAATTTATATCTGATAAATATAGTTCTTTTTCAATAAATAATAAGTATTTTCATTTTTGTGCATTGTTTGGATGTGATAAACTTCAATTAAGAATATTGAAAATTTCACAACATAAAATTATAATAAAAACTAAATCAAATTAGATGGGCAATGGAAGGCTGTCTATGTTAAAGATATATAATTATTTAGTTTGGTATTTTACAGGAACCATTAAAAATTAGAATGGTATAAATATTTTATATAAGACTTAGCAATATTATTTTCTTATTGTAGAAAAGAGAAGGCAGACTACACACAAGAATTGTACAAGAAGAGTTAACATCCAAATATGAGTAAGCATGATCTGTACAATTTCTTATAAGTAGAAGACTAGTGATTATTAGGTGTTGTTAATATCCCTTTGATGTTTTTCCCACAGTGGAAATACGTAACCAAAATGCATTAAACATAGAACAAATTTACTAAATAACACATAGTTTCAGCTTTAAAAAAATAGTTAACGCTGCTCAATTTTGTTTTATATTTAAAGTTTGGGAGTGAGTTATTAGTATTTACTTTTTCAATGAAACCTTATGAAGTAAAATGAAGTACAATGACCATTTTTCTTTCAAACTCTCAAGAGTGAAACAGACAGGTATAAAATACATGTACATATAAGAAATAATAAAAAAATGGGTAAGTAAATATTAGTTTTAATTTTCAAGTTTCAATATGCAAGGTATGACAATTAAACACGTATACTATACAATTGAAATTACCTGAACAACTACTACTCTCACAACTACATTTTCTGGAAGCCTAACAGGAGCCCTGAAATGTCTAGCTAGAGCCACAAGCAGATGGAGAATTGAGATTACATTCTTTGAATGGATACCTATAATATCAAATTCATATCAGAAATAATCCCAAATAACAGCATTTACCTAATGACAAATCATATGTATTTCCTATTCAATTGAATAATCTTTAACTTGCTCTCTTTATAAACAAAGATCAGAATAAAGTGACTCTACATCATATCAGTCAAAAGACTTCATTAAGATATTTAATGCTAGATTACAAAAGGAGCACAAAGAAACTCAAGAAAAAGAAATTTAATATTACAACCAATCTTGGCACTAGCCATATATATATCAATGAATAATTTAAAGTCAGTTGTATTTTTCAAATGTTTAATCTCAGAATTTCAGGAATTTTTCTTTCTAATCTCTTGCAAATGCTGTGGTAGGTAATAATCTATGAGGCAAAGAAAAAAAAAGAAGAAAAGAAATGAAGAAAACTACTGTCACTATTTACCAATTATTCTGGTGCACACTATCAAAATAATTTGTGCAATAAACTGTAATCATTAATTCAGTAACCAACAAGAACCAATAATAGATACAAAACAGATCATATACACAACTAGCTTTTACCCATTTAATAATAAAACTGTTTCATCAGTCATTTTTATAAGATTTTGTAAATGCACGCTTACCTACAATGGTGGTATTATCCAAATATGATGTAAACAAAGCTGTGACTGACAAAACTGTACAGTCTCGAGTCTGATCAATTATACCTCAGCATTATGTTTGATGTCACAGTTACATACAGCAATTATGGTAAATCTGGACAGTGTATGAAGTTGATTTGCAAATGTTCAATCTCCATTGTATTTATTTCATCATTACTTTTTACATCAGTCACAATGAGGAATTGAAAATATTTTGCTTTTACCAAAAAAAAAAAAAGATTGATTGCAAATGGTAAGTAATTAATCTAAACCATGTTTAAGAATGATTGAAAAATTATACTTGCTTTCAACATTCCATTTCACTTGACTCCACCTATTTGGTGCGAGAAGTCTGTTGGTGGCATCAAGTACAGTTCTTAACTTCTCTTTCTGTCCTTCCTCTGACTGAGTAACTTCAACAACATCCAATTTTTCTCCAGCCAGCTTTTCTATTTATAAAATACAAGGTTTTACTTTTAATTCTATAAAGAGCAAATACTACTAGTAGATTTTTAACAGATTATCAAGTTAAGTTTGTTTTGCACAGGTCTGCAAATTTATACACATTTTATTAAGATTATAAAAATCCAAATAGATGTAATAAACTAATTCAATATAATAAAACAATTTGAAAAGTTTCGTTAAACTCTAATAAAAACAGAAACAACAACAAAAAATTAAAATTTGCTTTTTTACATAACACTTGCATAGTCTTGCAAATGTTGAGGTTGTAAAACTAGTTTACAAAAACAGAGGTGATCAAGTGATTTATATACACATTTTGACATTAGAATAGAGCCATTTTCAAATAATTAAAATGCACACAAAAATTTAAATACACTGGACATTACACTGTTACATTAGACTTCAGGTTCAATGCTCTGAGAAGCAAACATTCTTGACAAACATTTATTAAGGCTTTGTTTTATATTTATAAATAGATTTCACAAACTTCCAGTGACAAGGTACATGATGTCTACATAAAAAAAAAACCATTTTTTTAGACTACCTGCATCTATTTTTTACAATAAAGACATCTTTGAAACATTAAAACATGATTTGTACATTTGCCTTTGTGTTTGAATTTATATTATATTTTACATTAGAAGTTTTAATGATAATAATAACCTTGAAAATACTTATGGGCCATATTCTCCAAAATAGATAAGATGTATATTATTAATAAATGAATTCCACAATTTCAGTTATCACCTACAAGTGTGAGATTATACTAATAATACCTCGTGTGCCACACATTAAATATAACTGATCACATGAGACAAAAATAAAGTGATTACTATTTCTAATGCATTCTACCCTTTAACATGACTGCATACTTGCACTGACTTACCCTGTCAAAATTGCAAAAAAAAACAATGGTTAAAAACTGTTCCTTTATTTAAAAATATTAAGTACTAATTTTAATTTCATACACTGTAATAATAATGTAAACAATTATGTATTGGCATAATGCAAAAAATGATCTAAATCACCCTGTAAGTCTGCACCATCTTTGATACAGTTAGCCATTCCAAAAATCTTAATGTTGTCTGCAAACTTCAAAATTTTGTTAGTCATTTCAGAGTCACTATCATTAATATAAATCACAAACAGCAGAGGACCCAGCACACAAATAGCATATAATTTTTACAAATATACTATAAAATGGAATAGTAATTTAGAAACTACACTTCATCACCTTGTATGGTAAAAAATCAAAAGAATTTCAGTAAAAAATTAGGAATTTATGTACATTATGTAAGGGATGTTCATTTCACCTTAAATATGTATTAAAATCTCACCGAGACATTAATACAGAGGAATAAAGTTTGAAATAAGTTTAACATATAACTATTACACTTAATGAACTGTATCAATATACTAAAGAATATTATTCCAAATTTTTGTTTCAAAGATTTACAGTATACAATATAGTATAGATTTTAGCTCATATTTGCATTTTTAGTGATTGTAATGTAAATTGCAGAATCATGTTTCATGTCCAAACTTTTAAAACAGATGGTAAAATTTTGTATGTTTTTATTTTTTGAGACTAAGTGCATAATATATGATGTAATTTCACTTCAGGTTTGTAACTCTAAGACTCACAATGAGGAATATAAGGAGTTACAGTGTTTTATGTATATTTGTCATAAAGGACATTGAAACTCATCAGCAAAGCATAGTGTTGTTACTCACCAAGAAGCTTCTGAAGAATTTGACCATCATATAAGTCTTCTTCTATGTCTTTAACAATAATTCTCTGATTTGCGAGTTCATCATTAATCCACTCAATCAGAACTTTTATCAACTCTTTCAATTTTGGGTTGTCATATGAAGATGGTTCTATCATAGATCGTTCCTCGTATTCATCTAGAAAAAATAATGATGAAAATTAAAAGATATTTGTGAGCAAAATGAAACTTGTTTTATTAATATCCATGTTGATAGAGTATGTCAGCTGTAAAAAAGCAATGTTGCTAATTGGAAGAGTATGATCATTTAGGTAGACTAAAAGTTTTGAAGAAAATATGGAATTTTGCTCTTAAATTTTTAATTTTGTTACATACTCTTTCTAAATAAAACGTTGCAACCTAAAAAATATATACAAGATGAGGCCAATTACTGGTCAACATGCAATCTAATGTGCATCTTTTGCTGGTAAAAGTCCAAAATCAAATTCAAGACTTGAAGCTGAATATTCTATATTTTTGTATTTAAAGTATGTTCATAAAGTAAAAATACTATTCATATGTTCATAGAGTAAACTCTCCATTAAAAAAATCAGTTTTATAGGATAGAAGATGACAATTTCATTACTATTTTGAAAAGAATTACTGACAATACAGCATTTTGCAAACATTATTCCAAAGTGTAAGTGTTCCAATATTAAAAGCAAATACTAAAGTTATTCATATTTTTGAAATTTCTTTTTTACACAATATGCACAGTTTTAACCCTATGACAAAAAAATCAACAATAAATATATATGTTATAGACTTTCATTTCAACTAAACGTTTGGTCAACATTTGAGCCATAAACGAAACAGAATAATAACATCTTCCACCAATGTTGTGTTAGATTCCAAACTTACTTAACTTTAGATAGATACGTACATATACATATATATACACACACAGTTACATCACTCCTAGAGCTGGGCAATTAATAACTCAATTAATCAACTACCCATCACCACTGATTATATCAAGAAAATAACAAATGAATTAAAATTATGATTAAATAGATGATTGTTACAAAAATAATAAACTAACTGAAATTAGTGTTTCCAATTATTATTGCTTTTGATTATTCTATTTACCTAAGTTATCAAAATATTGTCATTATGGTTTCTCATAATTATTTTGTATCAATTCAAGCTTAATTGATTAATGTCATGACTCATATAAATAACCAAAATTTGTATTTCCAATTATTACTATTTTTCACTATTACAAATATCCAAGTCTCACATGAAAATAACCACTTAGTTGTATGTAACTGACTGATGACCAACGATTAATTGAGTAGCAAATTCACTAATTGTCAGCTCTACTCAATCCAAGATTCATGTGAGAATAACTGATTAGCTGAATGCAACTGATTAATGAGCTTGATGATTAATTGAATAGAAAATGCCAAGCTTTACTCATTCCCACTATTGTACGAGTATAACTGACTAACAAGCAAGATGATTAAGTGGCAAGTTTACTAACTTCCAAGCTCTAATCTCTCAAATTTTGATAGTAATATGTCCATCAATCATTAACTACAAGTAAGAATATTACTTAAAAAGAAATACCTAACAATGATACTAATTTACAGACTCAGACTTACCAAGCATATAATCTTGAGGAGGTAGCTCTGGTGATGTGGGACTTCCAGATAAATCAATTGCATTTTTTCCTTCTTCTTCTAGCTCATTAACTGGAATAAGAGTTTACACTTATTTGAAATATATGAGCCTACTCATTAAAACAATACGCATATAAGCTGAATTAATCAAGTTACATGTGTATATTACATGATAATTAATAATATTTGAATTTCATTCATTTTTTCTCTATTTTTCATTACTCATGCATTTTCTCATTAAAAAAAAGATGAAAATAATTTAAATAGTAATAAATTATACAAAATTCACTATTACCTTTACCCTGTGCATAGGGGCTCGACCAACCTTGTAACCACCATGTAACCATAACACTATGCATACTATAATTTTGAATGTACTATGTGTGTATATATATCTTCATTAAATTTGGCAAGCTTTTAGTAAAAATAATAAATCTGTTGTACACAAAAAATCACATATTTTAATAATGTATTTTAGCTAAATATTTTTCTGTGAATTTCTTAAGCTTTTACTGAATTCAGTCTGAGTGAAAAGTCATTTTCATGGTAAGAATAAAAATACTTTTCTCCTTAATCATGAAAGGTAGATATTCAATGCTCAGATTATAAAAGTGAATATCAAAAGTATTTGTTTGATGCAACTTGGTACAGCATTTCTTATTTTCTCTACCCTAACACTAACTGTAGCAAAATGATCAATGTAAAGTGAAATAAATGTTGAAAAATATTATACAAAATAAAAAATACCATTTTTCTATAATGGCTTCAAACTGTAAAAGACATTCAAATTATTCATCCTAAAAGTCTCGGCTTCTAAAGTTTTGTCTCATGTTACAATATGTGACATTCTTTTAAAGGGCCTACAATGGCTGCCCACTCATGGAGAAGTGTACTTCCTCATGTTCATCCCTAGTAAGTTTTCAAAAATCAATAGCAAAGTAACTAGTTTAAAACTACATTATAATGAAGTAGCATCTTCAAAACGTGTGGCCACATCTACTATTTGATCCAAAAAATATCATAATTCAATCAGATATCAGAACCCAGATACTCAAAATTTGATATGCAACCAAACTTAATGGGGTCACACACTTTGCATGGTATGATTAAAGGAAAGGATCTTGGCATAATGGTTAGAATTTATTATTTAAACCATTTGAAGCTTTGTTCTGTCTGTTATTTTGTATTTTAGTGGAATGCTCCTGAAGAAGATATAAAGCAAAAATGTTGAGTGTCTAAGTAAAGAAAAACAGTAATTTGGTGTTATAAGGGAATTTAACTCTAGTAGTACACTGTGTAAGATGGCAACAAAATTAAAAATATTTTTTGGCAGCATATGTTCTTGTATTAAAAGTTGTTATACATTTTAATTTCAGTATATTGTTCAAAGTTTTATGCTATATAACATAGTAAGTGAACAACAAAGGACCATTTGGTCCTTGAAGAATCTCTTTGCATCCCTGCCTCTGAGGAAAAGTAAAAATTTGAAACACACCCTTTATTATACAGGAATTCATCAATTCCCCTCTTAAAGTTCCATAAAGTGCTAGCCCCAACTACCGCCAATGGCAATTCGCTCTCCATAAGCTAATCAAGTTAATTGCTTGAGTGACTTAACCATAGGAGAACATATTGACTCTCTTTATAAACTAGGAGAACATATTGACTCTC